GTTTAATGTCGACTATTAGCCGATTTGCTGATAAGATATTTGGAAAGCAATTCTTCGAATTCATTATGAAGTTAAAATGAATAATCTTGAGATTCGGTTATCGGATAGAGTTTCGCAAAGAACAAAAAAAAAAAAAAATTTTATTTTGACAATTTATCAGGATGATATGATCATGTTACGTTAATCAATTACACATACATTGTAGTAAGTATCGAATTCAGCTTGATATTAAATTTGTCTATTATCAAATTTAGAATCAACTTAGGCTGCTTTTAAATTTCGTATTAACTTGGGCTACATTTAGAATTCCGTTTCAACCTAGTTGATTCTAAATCCACAATAATTCTATTCGACGTACGAAATATATAATAGTTAAATTTAAAATGTCTTTTTTTTTTGTTTGAACAGACCGAATTAACGGAATTTTCCGAACTATAAGCCTCACTTGTCCGTGATTAGGATTATGTGATAAGGATTACGTGATTATCATGCATATACGGATTATATCATGCACAAATTAAAATTTGTGCCCCAGTTGGGGAACAATTATTTTATATTTCTATATTTAGTGAAAAGTAAAATCTCGTTATTTTAACCTTAAATAGTACAATAATTAACGTTAAATTTAATGTTAACTTTTACGTACACTTTTCCTCTGGCAGATCATTCCAATTAGGTTTTTTTTTTTTAAGGCACGTGTATTTCATAGACAGAATAATCTAAAGTTGGTTTTCAAAAAGCATCATCTTAAAATAAATAAATTGAATAAATAGTAAATTGAATAAATAGTAACCTTGCTTTAACTGTAATAAATAATTCATTAATATTTTATAATGATAGAAGAAATTGTTACATACCCTTAAATATAAATTAACCTTTTGAATTTTTATCGAATTGAAAACGTACAAAACACTTTCAGTCTTGATAAAGCCGAAAGTATCCTATTTCGAAGTCCTTGATGTTCATGTTAATGCATAAGAATATATATTAAGCGTCATGTTAGTTGATAATTAAACAAAATGGATACAAATGTGAATTATTTTGATTCATATTTGTTAATAATAAATAAATTTGTAATTCTAAAAAAACCTTTGTACCGTATATTTGTCGTTGTAATCCATTCTAATAAACAAATTGTGTTATTTAACTGATCATTTCTTAGACACCTTATTTCACAGACAAGCTTATTTTACAATCACTTAACTCACAGGAATATGAAATAAGTTGTCTGTAAAATAATTATCTATAAGATAAGCTCGTCTATGAATTCATTAATTACCTGTTAAATAAACTCGTTTGAATTAATCGTCCGAAAAATAAGATGTCTATGAATTGACTGTCTAAGAAGTGAGTAGACCGGAGTAAAACTCCACTATAAAATAATAAATATCTTAATTGACTTACTGCGTCGACATATATAATTCCTTGCAAATCACTAGTGAGAAAAAAATTCTAGAATGATTTTTAAGTATGACTACTAATTTCTAGAATTAAATCTACATATATGTGATTATCTTGCCCACTAATGGTTTTCATTTATCGATCCTCGACAATATCTACAGATTACTTTGACAAATTTGCATATTGGCTAAAATTGCGTGCTGACTCGCGTGAAAATTACCATATTAGCAACTAACCATGTGGCAAGTGTTCATAAATCCTTAAAGATAATAGAGTGGATGATTTGGATTTCTATTTAGTTTAAATGTTAGGATTTTTTTAATGTTTTGTTCGTTGTCATAATCAATATAATGATTCTTTCGATACCTTGCAAATATAATTAAAAATACGATTCTCACAAATTATAGAATTATATACCTTGATTATAATATGATTATAATTTTTAAGGACTAACAAAGAAAAAGATCGTAGGTAAGTTACAAAAGATCCTGCCTGACCTGGACGAGTAAATAGTGTTCAAAATTACTTTTATAAATGAAATATATTACTTTACCAAAAATATTTAAAAAATTTAAAGACAATCTACGTAACAGTTTTTTAAAGCATGTTTTTTTCCTAAAATATAAATCTATATATTAGTAAGGTATTAAATAAAGTTTTAAACGACCTTTACATATCAATATTCATACTTTCTGTATAATTATGCTTCGAAAGAAGAAAAAACCTCAAATAATATTAAATAAAAAGACAAGTGCTAATAAGTTACAATAATTCAAATAATGAAGTTATTAGTTTTTATTTCATTTTCAAAATAATAGACTTTAATACCTCATACACCTCGTTGATTTTCTACATTGGTTTTTTCCCACTTATATTAACTAATAAAAATAACCATTGCGCATATATATATATATATACAATAAACATAAATAACGTATATTAGTTAAAAGCGCTAATTTAAAGGATACATATAATTTATACCATACTACTGCAAAATATATAACGAATAAAAAAAAATAAAAAGATAAACCCTAAAATTGGAATCCATATAATATAATAAAGTATAATCTAAATAACTGAAATTAGGGTGAGCGTGATTTTGTTTTTTCTATAGTTATCTTTACCCCAATACGAAAAAAGCACAATATTTTTTAGCATTTATAATAATTTTAAAAGTAATACTGTATTTTCAATTTTTTATTCGTTTTAATATATATACTTTTTTTTTAAATCTCATTAAACTTTATAACATAACACAGTTCTTCTAATTAAGCTGCTATATAGATTAATTTTTGTAAGTAATGGTTACACGGCTTATATAATTCATATAAAATCCGGTTACACACCTAGTTTTATTTAGATCCTTTTTAAGAAACAATAAGTTATAAATATTTAAAAAAATTTTTTAGGCATGTTTATTTACAAGAAACTTGAATACATTGGGCCCTATTTCCGTCCAAAAAAACGGTATTTAAGAAATATTATATAATGTAAAATTTAGTATAACGTTAAAAAAAGATCAACTTAATATATGTATATATATATAAAATGTTAAGGTACTAAATTTCCAAAATTTTATTTTATTTATGCAATATTATAGACTCGATTAATAAATTATGAAACTCTGCTATTTATAAATAAAATGCGACGTTTTTTTTTAAACAGAACATAATTCTTATAGAGGAAAAGTAGATATTTTAACAGGAATTTAATTCATAATGGAATTTTATTTAGTAAAAGGGATTTGACAAAATCGATGTACGTACGTGTAATAAAATTACCTAGGTATGACAATTTAAATTTAGAAAGTTGAATAAGATGTAACGCGTAGATCGAAAACGATTTAAAGATCATTTTTAAGTAGTTTTGTGTTGAGATACGATTGGTTTTATTCAACCTTCATTTGTTTATACTCCGCATAGTATATCACGTTTTATATATAATAAATTGTTACTAATTATATTAAACTTAATACTTAACCTGCTTACCTACACTACCTATTACTACCTATTGAAATATCTGAGTGAAATTAAATCATAAGTTTAAACAACTTAGTAATATATGAAAGTACCTATATTCCACTTAGTATAATACCCAATGTGACAAATAACGTAGGTCGATTTTTTAAACTCAGGTAATTAAGTTAAGACGAATGCTTGCAGTAGGTAGTGTAACTTTAAAAAAAAATCCTTTTTTTTACTACCTTATATACAGTTAAAGGCTCGTTCTCGGTACAATTATTTCAGCAAAGCTAATGATATATTTACATATTATCATTGTTTTTCTGAGATAAATCGTCTTGTAAAGTTTCCATAAGATATACGTATAATCCATATATATATATATTTCTAAAACGTAGATATATTCTCCAAGATATAGAGCAAAATAACGGTTACAATAATTGTTTACTTTTGACTATTTTGCGCGTAGTACGCTGTATTTACCGTTTGTATAATTTATATTTTATTTTTTGTACTATAGATTTCTTTTATGAGTTTATTGAATTGGATTTAATAAATTTTACCCTTCATTTAGATCCCCGAACCTAATTCTAAGGCGTTTTTTTTTAGTTGCGCAAAATTTAAAAGTTACCCTCAACTTAGAATAAAAATGTCTTTATCAATAAAAGCAATTATTGATACAAGTTTGGTTACCGTAAAAACTCAAAAAATAAGCGCCACAGCCTCTACCCTACTTTTTCAGACTCAAATTAACAGGAATAACTTTCCGATAACCTAAGACTGAAAAAAATAGGGTAAAAGGTGTGGTGCTTATTTTCTGAGTTTTACGTAAATACAAGTAAAAAAAAATATAAAACCCTTTTTTTTTTATTGAGTATTAAATCTTTGAATACTTTAATATTGTCATACTTTTGAGTTTACTTTGGAGACACATGCATACTGGCGACAACATATTTGTTTATGGATGAATCACATATAACTATTATTGAGAATTTCAAATAACACACTAAATTTATAAAGAAATTTGGCTTAAAAATTTTTTTCGAACAAGATATCTTTTGTGAGAAAATTTTCGAATATTTCTGGAATATTAACTTGGTAAAAAAAAAAAAAAAAGGCGTTTTTATTCAATGAACTCAAAGCAAAAATTTAATAATTTTATTTACTGCGGCTGCGGCTACATATAAAAAAAAGGTAGTAAATCAGAAAAATACTATTGAGCTATTATAAAATTTCAAAATTTTGAGTTCATAATATCCAGAGTCGACTGTAATATTTATAATAAAACTATTCTATTCTGAGATAAAATAAAATACTGAAATATAAAGAAATAAAGATATGTTTAATAAATAAATAAAAATATGTATATTTAAAAAAATAAAATAAAATAAAATAAAAGGATTTAAATTAGAGCCATACAAAATCAATTAATTAGTCTTCATAACCTGACCGTGCAATTTTGAATACTTGTAGAAAAGATATTTTAATAATTGGGGTGGTATCGAGATGATTTTTTAAAAAAAAATTTATAAAATTTTATATATGAAATTAAAAAAAGCTGCCTAGGTCCATTTAAAAGTTCCATGTTATAAAAACCAAGATATTAAACTTGTGTGGCCTAATATATCCAGTAATAAATCAAATACGAGGGCCGTTGAAAATTCTAATCCGAAGCATTTCATTATAAATTCTCGCTACATTATTGGCGACGGTTCTAAAAGAGTTTAACAAATTTGGGTCGCTTGAACTCAAATCTCTCCATATATTTCCCAGCAACCTTGATAAAGTACCACGTGCAATTCGCATATCCATAGTTCTGATTGCAGATTGTACTTGTCTTCTAAATATAAGAAAACAATTCGGCGGTACAGTTGAACCTCTTTGAAGGTTTATTACGTCATTCTCGTTCGGGACAGAGAAAGGAACACTGTTGGTTTCATGCCTCCTGATTTCATGTCTGATTTCGACTTTAATGAAATAATCACCTAAATTATTTTGGACAATTTGGATCGTAGTGTCATTATAAGTGGACATTGAAATTATTCTCCACACATAGAATCCTTCGAGAATCATAAGTACGTTACTATCACTCATTGTTTCTGAAATTTTGAACGATTCAAACTTTAAAAAATGCGTTATGGAGATGAAAAGGAGGATTCTATTTATAAAAAAAAATCATGTAAAATACATATATTTGTAGTACTATAAATCATGTATAATACATATATTCGTAGCACTATATAACTGTGGTAAAGTGAAAGCGAAGCGATTGGGCACTTTATTATGTATATTACGCCAATTGTTTTTGTTCCTTGTTTGGATATTATAAGTTAGTTGGGGCCCGCTGCACTGGTAAAGCATTAAAGCACAATGACAAAGTATCTTTTTATATAAAGTCTCCTTTTTTTAGTCAAAATTGGAAAAATTAGGCCATTTTCTGTATCATTGTCAAGATATGATCCACATTCCCGAGTTATAATGTCAGCACTAAAAATGATATCTTTGAGAGAAGCCGAATATAGTTTTGTTATTACACATTACAAACAATTCGGTAAAGGTAACATAATACACTTTACATAGTTAATTGGCTTCATTCATTGAAAGAATATTTCATCTTTAAATTAAACATATCTATATTATGTGTTTGACCGTGATTTGCTGAATGTCACGTATCTATACGTAGTTTATCAAGTACCTATGTATAATTTGTTATTTTAAGTAGCGTTCCCACAACTAATTGTTCATTCTCTATAATTTTGACCAATCAAGGTTTAGGATTAGGTGTAACGTGATAGTTAAAAAAAAAAAAAACGTACTTTGTCTTTTAAGTAAAAAAAGGTTGCATGTAAAATTAAAGTCAAGAAACCTGTGTTATAATTAGGGATAAGATTAGAAAAATACAATGTTTATTAGTAAAATTTCATAAGGAATAGAGGTGATTACAATGATGATCAATGTAACCAATAAGTTGAATGTGTGCCAGGTTCGTGGCGCAGCCCAAATTTTTTAAAGTTCGTTTATGTTATGGTTCGAGTCATGGTTAAGAATCAGAGAGAAGTCGTTTGTACAATAAAATTGCCCAATGAAACCTTTTTGTTATAGCACTAAAGGTGGTTGCTTATGATGATTTTTTGAGAAATAAATTTGTTGAATTTCTTATCGTGTTATGTTCCACCCGATCTTGAAATCTGATTCGTAGTTCAGGAGATCTGCGCCACAAACCTGGCATACATTCAAGTGCTTGTGCAACATCTCCGCGCAAACCAAACTATATAATAAAATTCTTGGATAGGCTTTATCGTAATTGTAGTTAGTTAGTATTATTAAATTGTCAAAATTGTTCAAAAAAGCCTGTAATTAAATTATATCTCACTAATTTAAGTAAAAATGCTTGGGCAATAACTATAAATTTGAATTGTGGCTCATAGATCGATAACGTAATAGTTACGCACTCGGGTCTCGGTCTCAATTGTAAGGTTTTTGAATCGAATCATACTTGAAGAAGCCGTACCAGGATCTTTAACCACATGCCACTTGAGTGAAATTCTGGTTTAAAACCAAGTAAACTCCTGAAAAGGACATTTCTCGGTAAAAATTTAGGATACCTCCGGTGAAATTCCTGTCAAAGTTAGGATACTACTTGTGAATTGCAACGTTCAGGATTCCTATAATAAATCGTAAAAATAGCTAGTTCTTAACTATGTAAATTCCTAAACGTAGAATTTTTCACATATTAGAAGGTCTCATTAATTAAAATGAGTTAATTAAATGAATAAATAAATAGATTGTACGCCAACAAGTGTCCCATGACTATCATGCCAAAGGTTCAAAAAGAAAGAAAAAAGGAATGGAAATTAGATTATTCGTTTTAATATATTACAATATCTCATATCTATTGTATTTAGAGTAGCAACCTATCTAGTATATATCTACCTATCTAGAATATATCATAAGCTGCACCTTGCTAAAATTAAGTTCCTGAAATCAATGCATTAAATGATAATTTTTATCAAATAAATATATGAAGTTGCAACTTCAGATAGGTCATTACTTCAGATACAGCATATTTACGCTTACACATTTTACACTTACACATGTTTGAATTAGTTTCGTTTTTTTTTTCTTTTTTTTTTTTGACAACTTTAAACAGGTTAAAAGGTAAACCTAATGATTAGTAATGATAATACATTATCCAATCATATATATTGATATGATCACACCATATCACTTTTTCATTTACGGTGGACTTCGACTCATTCCGTTACTGTACTTTCACAAGTTTTTAGCTGATAAGTAAGTGCTAGACTCGTAAGTTATGCAACTTACAATTGCGATTTACAACTTAATTTACAGCAGTTATTTACAATTATACTTTTCAGTATTTCTATAGCTCATTTGAATTTATTTAATTTTTTTGAATTTATTTAATTTTAAGCTCGAAGTTGAATGCTTTTAGTTTAAAAGTTATATGATTGATTGTTATAATTTATATATAATATTCTAAAAATTTTTGATAAAATAAAAAGAACATGTGTAGTAAGAAGTGTTAATCGGTGTTACACAGGCACAGAATACCAAATTAAGCCGGACCAATAAAATTGATACCATTTTTAAACAATGAAACAGCTTTGAAAATGATCCATTTTTACTTTGTCAATGATTTTATTTTGTCAAAAGCCCCTTACATTTGCTTTATTAATTGTACGTACTTACGTACATACGTAAAATTTAACAAATATATTTGATAATATATTTATATATGTATTAAAATATAAACAACAACAGTTTTATAAGTGAATTACATTTCATGTATAACTTTCAAGTAAAGCTGTTTATTAATTATTCAAAAAACGTTCTAGAACATGCCATATGTCATATGTACGTGGTACTTGTTTATGTACGTTTATATACACGTTTTATAAGATTACTTTATTGAAATTTATTTAGTACGTATTAGAATCTTTTCCATTATGAAATAGACTGCTTGGACTATTGATCGGCTTCTTGGTCTATTAATGGATTTCTTGGTTTGATTTGTAGATATGACAACATTTAAAATATTCAATAACTTTAAGTAATTGAAGTATCAAAAAGCATCAATGAATGTTTTTTTGTCAAAGAATTTGATAAATTGAATGTTAAAATTAGTATGAACTCGGCGTATAAGCATAACTTTTATCTTCCAATACGAACTGCAAAAAAAAAAAAAGTTTTTGAAACTTGATAGCTACTACTCCTTAATCAAAAATAGATTTAACTATTAAAAAAAAAAAGTCAAATATAGTTATAACTATTAAAAAAAAGGAAAAGACAACACGGCTAATTACCAATTGTCTCCGAATCTACTTACATTTGAACAAAGCCTTTGTTGATATCCCGATACGGATGATGATAATGTGTAAACTCCTTAGCTTTAAAAATGGTTTAGTGGCGTGTAAATCATTTAATAGTGAACTCGAATTTAGTATACATTACGTAAATCTTTTTACATACATTGCTGTGCAAAAAAGCTCATAAAATACAATTAAAATCACGAATTTTCTACGTAGTATAACATGTAACGTATTACATCATTGTAATTTTAGTAATAAATTTAGTTCACGTATTTTAAGTTTAAACTTTAATAAAATTTAAATAAAATTAAGTTAATAAAATTTAGGTTAATAAACTTTTAATTCAATTAAAATTAGGTTAATAAACATTTAATTCAACAAACTTTTAGTTAACAAAATTTTTAATTCAAATAAAATTAATAATAATTTGATATTGATTGAACGTTAAAATTTTTTTAATTGTTATCTTTGATTTTTATTGAGTTATTTATATGTAATATGGATTAAAATAAATTTTAATAGGATAAATCTAAAAATTGGACTCCTATACAAATCAAACCGTAAGTAGGACCAATTTCTACAGAGAATGGTTTGGATTAAATTTCAATGTCTATATGACGTTTCAAATATACCATGTATATGTATATTTTAATTAATTTACGCTACAGAAATCTTACAAATCACATGGACTAATGAATCCCAGTGTTACGTAATGTACACGTTGAGTTGGTTTCCGATAATAGACGCGAAAATGATGATATGAGCAAGTTAGTATAAAATACCAGACCCTATATACTACTATAAAAAAATATGTAATTCATTTTGAGTCAATTAACAAATGAAAAGATTAAAGTTTTAATTTTTCCTTCTTACTTGATAAAATGATGAGACATCTTTTACTTATTCGCATAAATGCATATTTTTTACATGTCATGTTGCGATTAACCGCGTCGTATGCTATTTACATATACTTAGGTAGTCAATCAGGATATCATTAGATCTTTGTTCCAAATCGGGTACGTATTATTCCCCACACAATCCGATAAATCTCAGATTAACATGCACATACTCACCTTAACCCCACTCTTTGCGGCATTTTATGAAATTAGAGTATTTTGACTCACTATGAAGTGCGCCATTTATTTTTTTTTGACATTTCTTATTGTGTAATCACGTAGCCATCTTTTTCATGAGATATGATTTACAATAAGAAATGGTAAAGAACAAATAGTAAATGATGCACTTCGTAGTGAGTTAAATAAAGTGCTCTATTTTCATAAATTTGCTGTAATGATCAGATGCATTTACTTATTATGCTGACGTGAATATTTTACTCATTTGGTTGTCGTGAAAATTTTAGATTATTTATACTTATTCCTTTTCTTCAAGTATTCAACCTGTATAACCAGTATTAATAGCTGGTGCAAAATTCTATATATATCATTGTGTCGCACTATCTGTTACGTAAAATGAAACAAGAATCTTTCCATTGTAACATTATATCAATATAAACGTGACAAAACGAACAAATATTTGTGGTAATATTGAAATATTGATATGGCTATATAGATTGTTGTGCATTTCATTATCCATATATGAACTATCGTACTAACAAGAGCCATTATAAGAACAAGCCATTGCTTAACAAACACGCGACTGAACAAATCTTAAACTATTTGGCAATGTTGCTAAAGTTTTTAAACTTATGAAACACTTATGAAATTCATTTAAAACGAAATTTACTAGGAGAATAGACACTGT